GCGAACTGAAACTTCAAAGTAAGCTAACAAACTACTATTTTAAATATGTAGATTAATGAAAAAAATAAATGTTTTGGTAAGAATCTTTTCCTTTATTTTTCTTTCCGTTTATTGCTTCTTTCCTTTAAGACTGTAGCGCAACTAGAAATTTTTTGCTGGTTGGGGGGGGGATAGTTGTCATTAAATTAAGAAAAGTATTTAATTAAATTAATTAATGTAATTAAAGTAAGTAAGTATTAATTTATCTTAGTGTATAAGAATTATTTCGGACAGTTAAGTGTTAGGCACTTCTTTAGAAGAATAATTTTCTATTAGTTTATTTTCTAACATTGTTAGTTTAATCTAATGTTATTAGTTTATTTTCTAAAAGATGGCACATTGGTGAAATCGGTTTATTCATAATTTCCCTATTGATGCATTGCCCCTGCTCTTCCTTATACTTTTTTTTTTCTTTATTCACTAGCTATATCATTTTTCCTCTTTTATGTGAACCTATATTATTATTCTTTTAAAAGAATTAGTTTTAACAATACCTTAATACCCACTTGCAGAATAAACGGGAAATCTAAAAATCTCTTCTTTTTATTACTATGAAAGCTGTAACTGTTTCACAAAACTTTGTTTTATTCATGTAAAATTCAATATTCTCTCTCACAAGTTTAATCAGGGTTCATAAATCTTTATCATAGTAAATGGAGGCTGAGAAGCTGGGAGTTTTTAACTGTTTTGTTCTTTAATGTATGTAAAAAAAGTCTTGACTAAATTAAATTTATTATTTAATGAGAAAGTATTTTGAAATTTAATATTACACTTATGAATTTTATATTGTGTCTTATCTTTAAATCTTGTGAGTATAATTCAAAGAACTAGAAGTTGAATACAGTAATTTTATTTAATATCCCTACAAAGAAAACTGTATATAGATAACATAATATATTAATTTATTTAACATAAATATTTAAATTTCATTGAAGAGATATTTATTTTTATCATGAATTAAGTCCGTAGAGTTCAAAGTGAGTCCTTAGAATTTTTTCAGTTTGTCAAATCCATCCTCCATATTTGATTTTATTTGGTAAGTAAATTGAAGAGAGGAAAAGGGAATCAAGTTTACTAAGTCCTTCGATTTCTGCCTTTACTGATTGCTCCAACATCAACTGAATCTGAGAATAAATTGGGGAGAAAAAAAATTTCATTACTGTTCATTTACTATCCAAGTGGAACAAGAAGATAATAAATAATTGAAATTTATAAAAAATACCAATATTGCTTTTTCTAGCAATTTTTTGTGTGTGTTATTCCTATAACGTTAAAAACATTTTTTCTTGTCTTTTTTCATTGAAAATCTACTTCCGTAAGCAAATGAATTAAGAAATTAGGATACATGTTTATCATTAAATTATTCACAGAAGCAGATTTACGAGTCACATTTCTTATTTTTTAAAAATTTAATTTTATTTTTCTAAGAAATTTGACTCAAAATTTTCACTTGTCTTACTATTGATTTTTAAACGTTTCTTGTTTTCCGTTAATATTGTATTTTTGTTTGTCTGTTGCGGGTCTTGAAATTTGAACATAGGCTACAAGGAACAATTTTAGCCCCGATCTTCATGAGCGTTTAAAAATTTTAAATAGTTTGTTTGGAAGAGATGTAAAAAAAATTATTGCACTTTGGTGATATTAGGCAATTTTATAAGTAAAACAGTAGACTATTCAGTTTAAGAGTGTTGATTACGCATTCTTAAATGTTTTATTTACATTCAAGGAGAGAAAAGTCTGGACAATTTATTTCAAAATTTTATAAAATACAATATGCCCTGTTAGATCATTGAAATACTTGTTAAAAGCATGCAAATGAATAGTAATGGTTAAAGCACAATCGGGACTTAAATTCAAATTAGTTACTCTTTTGTTTGACTACAACAATTGATAAAACTAAATTTTCCAGATCCCACTTTTTAATTTATGCATATTAGTTGAAAATAGATTACTGTATTTTAGCAATTCTTTTGCAAAGAGCAAGAGAAAGTAATTACCTGTCTTTGCCATTGAATGTTGTTTTGTATATAGGGTCTTGACAGTAAGGCCATTGCTTTTTTCATATCATTTTCTGTCAGTGGTGTTACTGCTGCAGTTGGAAATTTTAACCTAAAATGAAATTTTTGAACTTAATCAGAATTCTCAGGGCTTTTTTTTAAGCTTTACTTCGACCATCTTGATAAGGCATTTGAAAAATATTAGTTTGGTTCTAAATAAGTCTTGATGCATGACTGAGTTGATGTTTTTGACTAAAATAATTCATGTAAAATTAGAACTGTGATGGTGTATTTTTATACATATTTTATCGGATTGTTCGAAAGTAATTTCGTTTTTCCGACAGAGGATTTAATTGTATTTTTTGAATCCAACTTCACACTTTAGTCACATTATCATTATATGTTTTGAGAGCTGATGTAGCAAGGCTTGTGTGTGGAAAAGTTCAATTCATTCTACACAGTAGTTCTTGGTTGGTGCCCTTTTAAATAAGGAGAGCAATGAGCAGCATTTTCGTCATATTTTAGGCAGTATTTCGTCATATTCAAGGCATTAGTTGATGCAAATCGGCGATTGACAACTTGTGAGATTGGTGAGAGGTTAAATTTATCAAATTCAACTGTTTATGACCACTTGGTTCTGGCTTGTCTTCACATTTCTAAGGAGACTTTTGAGACGGACCCTTTGATTGCCCTAGATTTCTTGAGAGAGTATGGACTCCACTCATTAATAATGTCTAGCTGCCGCTAGACAGTATGAGGATTGGTCACACGACCACTTGAAAGGCCTGGATTTAAGCTAGATATATGGGTGCCCCATGTTCTCATGGTGAGAAATTTGAGTCTCCACGTTGACGTCTGTGATTCGTTTTTCAAATGTCACGAAAATGATCAATTTTTGAAGCCCATCATTACTGGGGATGAAAAATGGGTTGTCTATAACAATGTCAAACGAAAGAGATCATGGAGCAAAAGAGATGAACCGGCTCAAAGCATTTTGAAGGCCAATATCCATCAAAAAAAGGTGATGCTGTCTGTTTGGTGGGATTTTATAGGAATAGTTTTTTTTTTTTTAGCTTTTACCGGATAACACAATGTGTATAAATTTGTAATAATATATTAATATCCATCAAAAAAAGGTGATGCTGTCTGTTTGGTGGGATTTTAAAGGAATAGTTTTTTTTTTTTTAGCTTTTACCGGATAACACAATGTGTATAAATTTGTAATAATATATTAAGTCCCATTTCTTCACATTGGTAATAAATCTATAAATAAATAAAATTCAACCTATCGTTGTAATAAGTTTCAAATTTCAGATTATCGTAAATTTACAAATAGTATCAATATGATGCTTTAAAACGAATCACTTTAAAGGTTCACTAACACTTTAAAGCATTGTATTTTTTTCCATTTATTGCTGGTAATTGTTTCCTGAAATTTACAATAGGTACTTAGTATGCATGTAGATATTATGGTACTAGTTTTTTTACATCCTACCAAAGCAGAATAGTACCAAAATGTATATGTAAATCTTGGGTGTTCACAGAGTGAATATGTTTTTAGATTTTTAATTTTATGATGGAATAACCATCGTATCGAAGACTACAGTGCTTCAGCATCCAATGAGCAAGTTAGGATTGCAGTATCAGTTCCATGAGGGTGGCGAACAGGAGATTGGTATTATATATAACTTCAATGTTTATGTATATTGATATCAGGTTTATAACCTTTTTATTTTCGTGTCTTTAACAAAACTGAAGCATCAAGCAAGTGAGCAGTCCAAACAAACCTGCTTAAACGTACATGTTTATATATTTCTCAATGACAATTTTTATCTTGGTTAGCAATGAAGAGCTGAAACAAATTGAGCCATAAGTTAGGCAGAAATTAAAGATTATAAGTGAACAATTTTTAAAACCATACTAAAGGTGGTATATTTTTGTTTTAATTCGGGAAAGTTTAATAACAATTTTGAGCTGCATTTTGCTTTAATATTGCTTCCTATGGCTTAACTAATTTGAGGCAAGCCCGAATTGCGAAGCAATCCGAAAGGAACTGTGAAAACAGTGTTTTAGAGAGCACAGCTTGCTAGTGGTGGAGCCTCAAAATATTTAAGTTATAAGTTATTTAATGTAAATACATTAAATTAAGTTATTTAATGTAAATTTTTTTACAAAAAGTTCTTAACATTGTTGTGGGATGTTTATCAATTAATAACTACAAGAAACTAATTCAATTGCCGTTGAATCGAAAGCAGCAAGAAGAGAATTAGTTTTGCAATTAAGTTTTCTTTTTAAATGTTGTATTTTGAAGAGAGAAAAAATAAAGGCATAATATACATCTGCAGATCATTATACTGTAGGTACGCATAAAATACAAGAGCAATAATAAAATAAAAATTTTAAAACCACCTTTATCAAGTTATTTTGGAAACCTAAGATCCTGCAGTAATTGAAGTTAATTAAGAAATAGTTATTTTATGTTATGATTTTTGGTTTACTTTTTATTTATGTTAAAAAGTGTTTGAAATTTCAAGTGGCTATAAATTTTGCCATTTGGAAAACAATTGTATCTTGTAGTAACATCAATCATAGGTTGAAATTTTAACATTCTAGCTAATTGGACAGATGTCAATTGACTATAAATTTTTGTTGGTAATAAAACTTTGACTTAAATTTTGACAACGACTGAAACTTGTATTTTCCTCTTGCTTTGAGCTCCAGTTCAGTTTTGAATAATTTATCATTAAGTTGGCAAAATTTTGATTAATGATTAATTCTTTTCTAAAAATTCTGTTTGTTGTAGTCAGAAAAGCTTTGAGTAATCTAGCTAGTCAGAGAGTGGTCAAAATTTTCTTTGCAATATTCTTAACTCATAAACACGAAAGCAAGTTAATAAAAACGTAATATATATGCATATTATGTCACCTTTGGATATCAGTCTGTAGTAGCCCTAACCATCGAATCTCCGGTACTGCTAACTTTTCTACATCAAATGACATTGCCTGTAAATTACAAGTTAAAACCAATTATTACAAACAATCATATCAAAAGTTAGGAATAATTTTAAAATGAAAATTCCTTTCGGCTTTTAAAATAAGTACCATTGAAAGCATTAATTATGATTTTAATCAAATAAAAAAAATTATATTGACCTTGTGTTCCAAAATATTTATTTTTCAATTTTATGTAAGTTATTTTTTCCGATTGAAAATGAAAATTTTTGAAGGTTTGTTGAGAGCAAGGAAATGTTGCCCCTCATATTTTGCGTATTTAAAAAAGAACACTATGAAATATATTTAAGCATTTGTTACGTCAAAATATTTTTTTAGTAATTTCTTTAATTTTTTATTACAATTTACGTATATTACATTACAATAGTATTTTCACTTGAATATCTATTTTTTAGTTGACGATTTTATTAATGATTGTTGTTGGTTCTTCCCCCTTTTTTTTACCCTTAAATATATGTATCTAAATATATTAGAGAAATTATGAAAACGAAGATTTGATAAAATCAGTAAGGGAGATGACCAATTCGTGGAAGATGTTAAAATAACTCGGTGGGGTCATTTCCCGAAAGAAAGTAAGTGATTTGATCGAATCCCAACTGTATAATATCAGCATATTATAAATATTTGCTTACAGGTATTTAAAGTTTCGGAAAATTGTAATTAAATTAAAATTCTATTAAAAATAAACGGAATAAAATGTAAAAATAAGCTGCTCAATATTCTAAATATACACATCTAAACATATATGTATTTAAAGTGTTAAATCCTAATATGTCTATGAAATATTAAATTTTATTCTTACCATTGATCCAAATTTGTAAACACACAAAATTTCGATTCCTGAAAGTTATTCCCAATTTAGCTAATAATGATAACAACAATAACGATTGTTTTAAAAGTTTAAATACAAACTTTACCATAAGGGTCTGCATCTACTAAACCTAAAATAGGAATTTCTAATACATCCCACAGTTTGCGCAACATTTCTCTGGTATTCACATCAGGAAATCCCTTACCCTAAATTGAATGAAGAATTAAAATCAAGATAAAATCATAAACTTTTAAAATACTAATACAAAAATTTTTTCATTTTTAGAAATTTATAAATAATAGATTAGGAAAACTCGGTAGTTTAATTGGTTGTATTAATTAAAGTAATATTACAATACCAGTTGAAAATTATAAGTACGAATGCAATCAAGTAGTTTTATTTGACTTAAGTTTTATTATTAAACCTTACTTCTATCATTAAAATTTATATATATTTCATCGATGTTTTTTTTCTCTCTCTCATTTAATGTGAAAACGGTGTATAAATTCTCAATATGTCGATTCAACTATCATTTCTTTTTAAATCGTACAATGTGTTTTTTAAATACAGTTATAATTTTTTAACACTATTTGTTTATTTATAAAATTAGAAATTCATAAATTGTTAATGTAAGGTTTGTTTAATGCAAGCTATTTGTTTAAATGTCTGTATATTATCTGTATAATTTTCTATAAAATAACGAAATTAGCGTAAAGATTTTAAATTCGTTAGGATAAGCGGTTATTAATACCCCTTTTTAAATTTGTTTCTTTTTCGAAGCTGTAAATTTTATTTAATGGTAATTTTCTTCATTTAATTTATCCTTCGTAAATATAGACTTTTTTCATTTTAATTTATGATATCTGTAAAAATACATAAAATTTAAAGATCATACTTTTCAAATTAAAACTTCAATAATTTCATAAAAAAATCGAACGCAGACAATGTGTTTTGAGTATATGAAAGCATATTACGAAGTCTATTTTAAAACTTTATAATATGCAGTAAGTCGCTTTATACGAGTTGTGGTAATTCTCGTTTTCGCTTACTTTACACTAGGGTTTAGTATGCTAATATCGTACGCAATTTGAAGGCACTGTTACAGGTAAGGGATATTTATTTCTCTGGGTTTTGGTTTATGATTATCCAATTATCTATCTTTGGTTTACCAATTATCTTTCATTATTGTTGAGCATCCACAATAACAATTCTTACTTTTTAAGTCCCATTCTCCTCTTTAACACCATTTGCATTTCACCACTTAGCTGTACTTTGACCCCTTAAATGTTGAATGGTGGCAAGCGGCAAGGCGAGCTCAGTTATTTATCTCAGTTCAGGCATAACTACATTTATGCTTTAAATTTTTTAAAAATTTGATAAATTATGCTTACAGTTATTAAGATACAAGGTTGAAATTCTTCGATGAAATTCGAATCGAGTAACATCTGAAACACAGCGCTCTTTTCCACAAGTAATATAAAGCGAGCATCTGACTGGATATCTAATGATAATTTTGTTAAGTTTCCTGCTTAGTAATGATAATAAAGAATTAATTTTACATGGGTGCTTTTTTCTATGACTATTAGGATTTGGAAGGAGAAAAAAAAATAAAGATGGAATTACCGTACTGTATGTTAATTTCATTTCTGGTAAAAGAAAAAAAAATCTGGTTTATAAAATTAAAATATACGGTATTTAAACCATTCATTTGGTGATTTTTCCGTTCATATGGTAATGGTTTACCGGAAATTCTAGTTTTCAAAGTTATAGTTCTTTTTACCACACATTTAGTGAAAAGTACGAAACTGAAAAGTTAATTTAACCGAATAAATGGTTTTTACGCCGTGCTCTAAGGTATGATAAAAGACCAAGTATTTTCTCATTTACCAGACTTTATCACATTAACCAAATTTTATTACATATTATAAAGTCATATTTTATTGTTAATTTTACTGAAGACATAACCAAAGCACCTCAGTATAAATAACCAAACATTTTGGTGTTTATATAGCCAGAAACAAGGTGAATTTGACCATATTCTGGAACTTCTGATCATACTTTTTTTCTCGGTGTGGGGTTTGATACTCAAACAATTGTAATAGAAAAAATAAAAAGGAATATCCAATGGGAAAAAAATATCAGTGTAGTTTAATAATATGAGGCAGCTATTACTAGGATTTTATTACTAGGACATGAATATTTTTAAAGGAAAAAAAATAGAACAGAATGAAAAACAAAGAAGAAAAAAATGCGATGAAAATTACGCAAAGGTTTTGATAAATTTTAATTCTTGTTAAATATTTCTTAATTTAATGCTGCTTATTTTTGTGTTAGTTAATAATTCTTTAACAGAATATTTTTAATTTAAGCTTTGAATATTTTTTTTTTTTTTGTATTCTCCGTTTTTTTTCTAACTATGTAATACTCGGTTGCCTTTTCATGCGATTTGTCAGTTGATGGAAACCGATTGAATTTCGATATATGACTTGTTAATCGTATTATTTATGATTTTATCTTTGCATTTGGGTTATTTAAAAAATAGTAGTACCCTAGAAAAGGCAATTAAAAATGTCTCATAATCTAAGTAATAAATCATATTTATACATTTCAATGGTTTGTTTAAAAACTTTTGTTAAGTTTAAAAACCAAGTTTTTAAACTTAATGAAATCAATTAAAGTTCTATGCTAAATGTTTTATGTTCCATTTTTCTAAAAAAATGAATTTTTGTGTTTTTGTGAAAACATATTCTCAAACACGAAAATTTATTTTTTATGGATTTCATATTTTTTATAGATACATTTCAATTTTTTCAAAAAATTAGGAGAGGGGTGATTAATACTTTTTACTTCTAATTCCGAACGTTAAAATCTCTTTAAAATGTATTTTGAAATACATAAAATACCTCAATAGATAGGTAAGAGGAATAAATGTACAAAAAACTTGCGTGTGATTTTTTTTTTTTTTTTAATTAAAAGAAGCGTTTTACGATTGTATGTTTTGTTTCTTTTACTATTTAATGATGAATAGCTTTGGCTCGAAGCTTTTCTTGATTGCAGGTTACAAGATGTTTTGTAATGTGCATTTTTATTTAATTAAAATTATTTTAGAATCACTGTCAAAATTCGAACAAAAACTTATTTACTTCAGGGATTTCAAATTAATGTTTGAGCGTTTAGAAAATTAAAAAAAAAAATTATTTAAATCTAACAATCACTACTGAGTAAGGTGGACTGGGGACATCAATGATTTAGATAACATTATAAACCAAAACGTTATTAATAAACCTGCTCGTTTGAATATTAATTTACGACACCTAATGTGAACACTCGCGGTGCGTAGCGTTTTTAAAAAGTGCTTAAAAGTGTTTATTTTTGTTTTTTTAAGACATCTTTTCATTAGGTGTTTTTAAAAAGTGTTTAATTTTCCCTTTGCGAAAATGAGGTTTTAATTCTTTACCATGTACATTTTCGCCATGTATTATGTAAACGCGTGCTTTTCACATTGNAAATAAATGATACAAAGTAATGATAATAAATGATTTTTATCCAATCTAAGTGCGAAAGATAAACTTTAATGTAATAATTTTTTTTTGAAAAAATACGTAATCAATTTATAAAGACTTTTCTGGTTCTTTTGGTTTAAAATGTATCTTTTCGTTCTTTTGTATCCTTTAATCTTCCAGAATATTTTGTAATGAATAATTTTAAAAATTTTGAAAATTACTTAAATTTGAAAAAATATTTTTTGTAAAAAAAATCAAGTAAATAAAAATTAATGTGAATAAAAAATAAACAACTGAAAATTAAAAAAAAAAGTTAAAATAGGCACTATGACAAGAGGAACAAAACAAAAAAAAACTAAATGTTTTTTACTTGAAAAAGGAAATTTGACTCTTACCATTTTTTCTTCCGTATTCTCTTATCGCAATAAAAATAAATAAATAAATATATACAGAGAGTCACATGTTCCTATTCAAGCCATGTTAGAATGGCACACATGGATTTCTTTTTCTACAAACGTGGCTTATCATTGGATTTCCGTAAGCTCTTTAATGTTAAAGTATTACTAAAAAGAATTTTTTTTAAAAAAGGATACACGTAATAGAACTAATGTCATTAGGCAGCAGAATCCCCTGAAAAGAGAGAATTATTCTATGTAAAAAGCAAAAATTGACACTTTTACTCAAGTTTTAAATTTGTTTGGGATTTTTTATTTAGAGATAAGAAACATTAACTTTAAAACAAGTAAACGAAGTTTCAATTAAAGTTTATGCAACTCTTTTTTACACTTATAGCAACAAATGCTTTCCTTTGCTTAGAGCAAATTTTTTTTGAAATTTTAATTTTCAAAAAATTTTAATTAAATAATTTGATAAATATAAACTTTTTTTAAATATTCAAAATGATTCTATTTTTCAGTTTGCCTCATGATGTAATCATGAATATAGCAAAATGTTAATTCAAACCAAATAGTAGTACTTTTTTTCTATGTAGTTATATATATCTAAAAATAGCAGTTTTATTTCTCTAAAATTTTACAATTTCTTGAACTGATTTTTTAAAAAGATTGATCTTGGAAAACCATATGAAAAGAGAAAAAAAAAAATGCTTACATAGCTCATACATTTCAACAGAAATTGCAAGCTCTTAAAATATAAAAATAAATGCCATGTAAAGTAATTCAGTAATGATTTGTTTTTCTTTTTTTACACAATATATATTTTAAAATATTATTAATTTTGAAAACTCTCAGTTTATCATTTTATTTCAAAAGTCTTGCTTTTATAATGAAATTTTAAATCTTACTTACCTGAGTAGTTTTACTGCAATCGATATAGTTTCCTTCAGCTTCTTTGAATTTTAAATGGCCGGCAATACATCCTTTTGAAGTTGTTAACTACAAAAAAAAAAAAAAAATTGAATTTCATGCTTCTTTCGCTTGTACATTTGTGCTTTTGTGAAAATAATGTAGGGCTTATTTGGATATATATATATAGTTATGTTCAACTATGTGGTGAATGACGTTGTGGATGGTGCCACACACGATCTTTACAAAATGACAAACCATATCGAAAAGTAAGTTTAACAACTTGATTATATCTTCAAATTATATTTATTCAAGTTCTAAAAGTAAAAATTTGATTTGATTTGGAAGTTATTATTGCTTTATAAGCCTCCAGTGCATTATTAATTTCACACCAACTGAAACTAATTTTCTNTATATATATAGTTATGTTCAATTATATGATGAATGACGTTGTGGATGGTGCCATACACGATCTTCTTCACAAAATGACAAACCATATCGAAAAGTAAGTTTAACAACTTGATTTTATGTTCAAATTATATTTATTCAAGTTCTAAAAGTAAAAATTTGATTTGATGATTCATACTATAAGCACAAAAATTATCTTATACATATAACGATTGAACAATTAGAAAAGAGAAAGAAAGAAGAAATTAGGTAAAGTTATTATTGCTTTATAAGCCTCCAGTGCATTATTAATTTCACACCAACTGAAACTAATTTTCTGCCATCAAACTTTTCCGAAAACAACAAAATGGAATCAGTTTTAAACTTCTATAAAAAAATGCTTTAGGTATTTATTTTGAAATAAACTTTATTAAAAAATAATGTAAAAACAAAAGGGCATTTTTGCATAAAATATTCTTTAATTCATTTTTTAGAGTTGCAAACAGGGTTCCCACTTAAGTCCGTAACCATTCTCGTAAATTTTGAACGAAACACTTATTAAAGTGGTGTCTACGTTCTGTGAAATGGCTATGCGTTATTAAATTAGGTAATTTACAACACCTAGTCCAAAACTACGTTTCTATTTCAAAAACGGTAGGAGAAATGGAGCGAAAAAACTACCAAGTTGCATAGTATTGTATAGATTTAGCACGAATCTAGACACCTGGACCTAAATGTTTAAAAAAATAATGTTAATGTGCATTTGTTTGCTTGAAGTTCCTAAAAATGTTAAGCGGCAAAACGATGACAGGATTTAGATATCTTTATTTAAGTTTGATAATCAAAAACAAAGGTATCTTGTGACGACAATATTTTTTACAAAAATCGTTTAACAACGTTATCGATACGATGTCTATTCGCACTAAATTGATAATGCTCTACAAATTTTCTTAATCTTACAGCGCATATAGTCACTTGACTACACCTAGACCTCAGTTTTATAAAAAGCTTCAGTCGTCCATAAGTTAAGAGGGTGGTTACTGATATAAGTGAACAACCTGCAAATTTCTGTTGGATACAATAAAAAATATCAAAAGAACATCAAACATCAATAAAAATAAATATCAGATTTTAAGAATTTTTCGAAACTTATAATTGCCCCTCAACAATATCTTCACATCTTATATATTATTATTTCACAAAATTGCTTTAATCAAATACCCTTTTGAACTATCTTAAACTAATTCATTTCATTTAAGAAAACCTTAATTTTATGGTAATATGAATGGGAAACTCAATTTACCACATGCAATTGAACTTTCGGCGTTTTCAAAAGGCAAGCAAGATCATCTAAGATATCATCCAGTTCCTTTTGACTTTTGAAGATCGTAACATCTTCATAATAAAGCTCTCTATGGATACAGAGTGTAATTATGAGAATTAATTAAAGAATCCTTAAGAATAGATACAAGTGTCTTATAGTGTTCCACTGTGAAAAGAGATCTTGAGTACCTTTTTGTTCTGTAAGTGTTTGACTTTATGAGCGAGTGAATTTTCGTCAGCACATGCATCACTTTGACTGAAGATTAAGAAAATTAATTATATTCATTAAAGTAATAAATGAATTTCTATCATATCTTTATATTTTTTTTAATGTAAGAAGAAATATTTTTTGTCATACTCAGTTTCTGCGAAGAAGGGCCACTTCGATTTCCAATCTTCTGTAATATCGGGTTCTCAATCAGTTTCAGTCCGCGTTCTCTTGTGTAACTAAATCATGATAAATAAATGATACAAAGTAATGATAATAAATGATTTTTATCCAATCTAAGTGCAAAAGATAAACTTTAATGTAATAATTTTTTTTTTTAAAAATACGTAATCAATTTATAAAGACTTTTTTGGTTCTTTTGGTTTAAAATGTATCTTTTCGTTCGTTTGTATCCTTTAATCTTCCAGAATATTTTGTAATGAATAATTTTTAAAATTTTGAAAATTACTTAAATTTGAAAAAATATTTTTTGTAAAAAAAATCAAGTAAATAAAAATTAATGTGAATAAAAAATAAACAACTAAAAATTAAAAAAAAAAGTTAAAATAGGCACTATGATAAGAGGAACAAAACAAAAAAAACTAAATGTTTTTTTACTTGAAAAAGGAAATTTGACTCTTACCATTTTTTCTTCCGTATTCTCTTATCGCAATAAAAATAAATAAATAAATACAGAGAGTCACATGTTCCTATTCAAGCCATGTTAGAATGGCACACATGGATTTCTTTTTCTAAGAATAACTTTTCGTCTTTTCACAATCACTCTTTCAAGATATTTAGACTAGCTTGTTATTATTGGAAATTTGGAAAATTTGTCTTTAAAAATTTAATGTGAGAGTGTTTTTGATTGTCGAGCATCGAACGCAGCCCGAAATGGCGTTTTTAAAATGGACATTGCATTTGATTCCGTTTTTTAAAACTAGTATTGTTCTTCATTTAAAGAATAAACAAATGAATCCAATTAAATCCGTAATTTCATATAGTCCATTTGCATAAATCACTTGGTAGTCTTGGTACATCAGTTTATTAATTTAGTTTTTTTTAAAAAAAGACTTTAAAAGTCATGTGTTTTTACAAGGTTGCTACAGATCCTATAAATTTATGATAGTGGTAGTAAATCTGTGTTGTTGGAATTTTAAGTTTCAAAATTCACGTTATCGTTAAGATTCAATACGGAGACATCGCTTGAAAAGTTATAATTGTAATTATAACTAGCAACTGTAAAATACCTCTTTAAAATGTCTCTTTTATAGAGTTATTTTTTTATTTAATTTTATTTTTCTATTAACTTTAAAATTCATTTTTTATTTTTTCTGAAAAAATTTAAGAAATTGAAGACTAAAAGAAAAAGAAAAAAAAAATCTGAACTAAGAATTCAGAAAAAAATTATTCTCTGTGCAATAAAAAAATTCGATTATCAGAACGATAAAAACCGAAATTGAATTAATGTTTTTGGCGATATGAAAGGAAGGTGGTTAAAAACTATGATTTCTTAGGAAACGTGATAGAAGTACGAGAATCTGTTCCGCTTCGATTTCAATTCTTATTTTCTAATTGTGTCTAAACATTCAAATTATGTTTCCTGAATTATATAATGGACGGTTTAAAATTTTTTAGAATTTTTTATATATACATATATAGATAAGAAAAAAACACTTGCCTGGTGTTTTTCCATATCTTTCGGTTAGGTAGTGCTAGTACAGATAAACTTTTGGTGCTATTTTTATGAACATAATCTTGAAATATATCTTCAATTTTCTTGAGCAACATGTTCCTGTCGTTGTGAAAATTGAAATACTTTAAGTTCATTGATGAATACGTTAACTACCATAGATATTTTGTTGCAGCAAAATTTTACAAAAATGCCAATACAGAACAATTAAAGAGGTTACATAAAATTTTTAATGCATATTTTCCCCTAAAAATTCACTATTTCTTCATTATAAGTCCGATAAAAAAAAGCTGCAAATCACTTAAAATTTATTTTTTAATCTAAAATAAAATTAAAAGGTGATGTAATATAAAATGTATAAAAGAAAAATCAGGGAATTTTTTAAATGTATTGATACTTGGTAGTTTTTGTAAAGTTGTATCTTTAGATTTGAAAATTTCAGCGGTATATTGAGCACAATCAGTTGCAGAAGTCGATAAGCACCAGTATTGGCTTACGATTCTCTTCCCTACAGTTTCGCTGGAAAAATTAGTATCATTAAAAATTATTTTGATATTTAAAAAAATTGCAACCAAAGCTTTCAGAAATCACGTTATTCCTTACGATACAGCATCTAATACAAATTATCTAATTCAAAATAAGATAAAGACATATTACCATTTCGAATGAAAGAAGTTTTAAAAGTACCTACTGAACTTAATTGAGTAAACCACTAAATTCGTATTATATTTTACTTCAAATAGTAAAAAAAAAAGAGGAAAAATTTTTTTCAATGCTTATAAAATGACTATTGAAAAATAAGATAATTTTAAAATTTCCTACAGTGCAAAAAGAACAATAATAACTAATAAAAAATCGCAGTTATTTTCCAATATAATAACAAAGATTAAAGCATCTCAAATAGCATAAACTTTTAAGGCTTTGTTACATTTTTAAAATAAGACAGATTCTTATAAAACTGTTAAATAAGTATTCTTTCCACAATACTTAATACAGTTCCATGATCCAAGCTTACTTTCGTTTTCTTGGTTATTTCTTATATACCTTTATAATATGAAACAAAAAAAGTTGAGACTTTCAAAAAACGTCTTATTTTAATCAAAAAATAAAATTCATTTTAAGATGTCTTATTTTTATTCCTTAAACAATTTTTTACAGATAAATCAGTAGTAAGTTCTTTCTCCTTTTGCTCCATTTGAATCTGAATTGGCGCTGATTCAACGAGGGACTTCAGAGTGTCGAAAGGTTTTTCGTCCCATATTTTCATCAAATCTTCCTTCCTTTGCTCTTTCTTAACTGTCTTTCCCGCTTTTTCAAGTTTATTTTTCTTTATTCCCCACAAACTCTCTATGGGACTGAGATCAGTGGAAGCAGGACATTTTAGAATATTAAACGCAGCCGTTTTGTGGTTTGTCATGAAGTGAAGGAACTAGCATTGTCTTGTAACAGAAAGCTATTAGAGTAAAGCGTTTTCATAGTGGGAAGGAATATGAGTAAATTTTTCCTAAAACCGTAGATAACTTTTTCGTTTTAAGCATGATATTCTACGTTTTTCATTTCCTAAGAAAATGAGAGGTCCTCCAGATCCTGGTCTTTTTTAAGCCCCTTCTTTATTTTTTAGACGATTTTTCAATACGAAAAATTGTAGGCCTGTTTTATAAAATCATTTCACAGCCTGACTTTTCCAGTTTTTGGATATCGTGATTACAAACTCTTATGAGAAATTCAAATCTTTCTTACCTGGACATAATTTTACTCGAGTCAAATTTTTAAAATTAAACATTTTTTGAGCAAACATTTTGATTTGTAATGGGTAATTATGTTTAGAAGTTTAGTTCCCTTATAACATTTCTTATATACAAAATAAAATGGTAAACTGGGAACGTAAAAGTTTTATGAGTCTCGATTTTTTTGCTCCGTACTGTATTCATCTAATAACCAGGAAAATAAATTCCACAAATCTGAGTTTAATATTTTACTAAAATGCATTATTTATGAACTTAATTACTAATTTTATGAAATTACCTTTTTTTTAATTTTTAATAAATACAATCACATCATAGATAGAGAAATTTAATAACTGTTTTTATTTCTTTAAATATTGTACTCAATGATATTCAGTGTATTATTTCAAATTTTCAAATTTATACTATAATGAAAAACTTATAAGTTTATTTTACTTGCTCGGTCCTCCATTGGGCTTGAATGTGGTTAAATCTTTTGGATAATTTTTGGTACATTCTTGTTTATTTATTACAGCTTCATTTAAAATTCCAAAATTCGATTCGATTTTGATAGGCTTTGAAAAAGACATTAGTAGTCTCTGTAAGTTCTCTAAATTTGTCCAGAAGTCTGTATCTTTCGTAATAATGGACAAGTATGATTGAGACATGATTAAATTAAACTGTATGGCATGAGTAATAAACCTCTTTTGGTTATAAAGCCATTTCTCTGCAAAGAGCTGTTTAAAAATTAGAGTTAAAACGATAAAAAATAGCAAACGATTTTACACTCAAAATTTCCGCATTTATTTATTTTCATATTAGTTATAGTTTTCTATAAAGAAGAAAACTGTTTTGTTTAAAAACTTTTTTTATTCAAAATCGTTTGCTCTTGAAAATGTGATGAATTTATTATTAAATGTGTAACTTATTTTATAATTGGGTATAATATAGCCTACGTCACAGGTTGTGTTGTTCCTACTAAATTTAACCCATGAACGGCATTTTCTGCGAGCCTATCTTCAAGCCACAAATAAACAAACGAAGTGTTCGATCGTTTAAATAGCTGCTCGCCAGATTTTATTGCATTATAAAGAAAAGTTATTGAAACTAAATACAACTAAATAAACAACAACAACTAAAACAAATAACAACAACTACTAATAACAATAACTAAATAAACAACAACTAAATTCCATTCGTTTAGCATTGCGTCATATGTTGTTCCTACTAAATCGAAGTA